GTTAATGAAATTATGGTATTTAACTGTAAATTTAAGTTAAAACCTAAAACGTTGCTACTGTATTTTTTACGGTAAAATTCCGGCAACCACAGCTGCCGTTTTTTTACCGTAAATTGTACGGATTTTTTTTTTACAGTGTGGGCAGCCTACTTTTCTGGGATTACCAGACTCTGCATATAAATGTATATGTTCTTTAATAACATAAAACAGTATGTTAATTCTGCTATCATTATTTATGGAGAGGTTTCTGTGAGAGTCTCACATATATAAAATGAGCTTCACCGGAAGATTATGAGCTGGCTTATCTTTATCCGGAAGTTCTAAATAGCGCTCCGTGCATATGGTCAATTGCCCAGCTCCCTCTGTCAATGATCTAGCACCCCCTCAGCATCTGCGTTCAAAATTCTCTGGCGCCGCCACTGGTACATCGATGTATTTTTGAAAAGCAAAAATTACGTTTGTCCAACTCTAAACCCAGTCCCCAAGTAAATTAGGTTATTAAATAAAAAACTAGCAAAACAAGTTGTGCGGTGTCCCCACCACTTTTCAAAGCAAAGTTACACCACTGGTCAAACCTGACCTTGCCAAAATGGTGCACTTTATGCACAGCGTTGGGGGAAACGCATTACAAGTGACACAAGTTATGTAATCAGATTACTTTTTAAGTAACTATTGAAATAACACAATACTTTTAAACGTACAAGACAATATCTAAGTTACTTTTTCAAATAAGTAATGCCAGTTACTTTGTTGTCCCATATACTGACTGACAGCTCTCCTGTCCGCATGTTGAGAGAAATCGGAAGTGCAGAGGCACTGTGTAAACATGATGGTTATGGTTACTGTACTTCTAGACTAAATGTGAACATGCATTTCTCATCTCACTTGCACAAAAACAGATTCAGTATTCCTCAAAATAAATAAAAACAGTGAAATGCTAACTCAGAATATGATGCACATCTGCAATAATTAAAGGTAAAAAGGAAATATAATAATAATAATAATAAAAAAAACATCCTTTAAGTATTATTACCATTGTATTATCCAATGTCTTTGTTGCTGAATGCAGACCTTTGATGATCCAAATGAACCATACTAATAAGCAAAAATGACTTCAGAAAAAAAATATTTGTTTCATTTTTTTTCTTTTATTGGTGAAGAGTGTTGACCTTTCTTCTCCTGCATCCTGTTCTTTATGCAATCCAAAAGAGCAGCACAGCTGAAAGGTTTGTTTGACGTGAATTTACATTTCCTGCTGCCCATGGCTTATTCATTTCACTTTAGGTGTAAAAGCGCTTTTACATTTGCTCGAAAAATGGAACTTTTTATATTAAAAACAAACAAGTAAGCTCAGCCCAGATGAGAAAAAGTAACACAAAATTAACGTAACACATGACTTTCAATAAAAAGTATCTAAGTAACACAATACTGTAATGCATTACTTTTTTTTAAAGTAACTTTCTCCAACACTCTTTGTGTATATTACTGTGATAGATGGTCATTACTCTGTGTCTCAAAAATGTGTTTAGGGTGCCAACATAAAAAAGGGATGTTTCATAAAGGCACAGTGACAAAAATGACTGCACAATTGTAAGGGTCAGAGAGAGGGTGGAGAATGGATGTGGAAAGCTAAACTCAGATAAATGTATTGACCCCTTTAAATGCAATTCTAACATCCAGTGGGGCAGGAATGTGTTTAAGATGTAGTGTGTGTGTGTGTAATAGCTGCCTAAGATCCTTTGGCAGAAGTGTGTGTGTGTTGTGCTTGTCAGGGGAGCATCCAGTCGGCCAGCTCTTAATTAGAACTGGGAGTACCACACGCCTCCAGCAGAACTCTCAACAGTTTTAACCAGCCACTGACAAACCATACAAAACTAACACTTTACACCTCCTCATAAATATCTGATGCAGAGTAAACAGCACTCCTCTCAAAAATGACTTCATTGTCAGCATAATATTCATTTCAACTAAAGTGACATCTCTGTTGAAACCTGTACCCTGTCAGCAATATCTATAATGTACTACAGGAGTGACTAGAACCACAGTTTTTCAAAGGCCTGTAATGTGTCAAAACGCAATTCATAGCTCAACGCAAGTATGCACAGCATCTCAGCTTTGTTGCAAAGGGAAGCTAGGGTGAGTATTAGCATAAACTGTCATCTTCTACATTTAGTTTCCCTTTTCAGGTCAGCTAATGTGAAGCAGCAGTTTGAAGAGAATCTTGCTGAGCAAGTGAAAGTTAGTTAAACTGTCAACGGATATAATAACTTGAATAACGCATTCGATGTAGTGAAACAAAAATATGAAGATAACTCTATTGCCCCCTTCAGCAGTGAAGTTTGTATCTGTCAGACCGATAAAAGAAAGTACATTAAATTTGTACAACGGGACAACACACTAGCAAAACATTGGGCTAGTCTGTATCTGTGTACTGAAAATATATTTTGAATATGCAGTGTGTTTTTAGGAAACTGCTTTATTACAATCAAA